ATGGGAGACCAGGAGAGGCACCTGGCTCCTGGCTTTGGATCAGCGCAGTGCGCCGGCCGCAGCGCGCCGGCCACGGCAGCCATTGGAGGGTGAACCAACGGCAAAGGAAGACCTGTCTGTCTGTCTGTCTGTCTCTCGCACTGTCCACTCTGCCTGTCAAAAAAAAAAAAAAAAAAAGACAGGTGAGCCTGATATCGCACTGCTAGCTCTTAATTCTTCAGCCTACATATTCTAATACCTGCTGTCTAAAAGGCTGCAACACATTAGGAAACAAAATTTATAAGGATGACAACAAATTACTGACTATTCTACCGAGACAGGATGCAGGATGTCCCTCAGTTGTGTAAATCAAACTAATGGTTTGTTTTTAAGAAAGCCACTACCTTTCAAAAAATTTTTCCTCTTTATTTAAACATAAAACACATTTACAGCATGCAGGTTAATTTAAAAATTATATGGCGTCTTCCCAAACCAATTATCTTTGAATGTATCTTCAAGCACTGAAAAGAAACCAACATATTCCACAGGTAGACTCAGACTCTCTTCTGTCATCTCATGTCAAATTGAGTTACAAATTGAGAGTGATGCACAGTAGTTAGTCTCTTAAGTTAGGCAAATAATTTAATTGATCACCATGAATAAATACTACTCTTATTTCATTGAGTTTGTCTTCTGATCCACCTACCAACACCATTAAGATAAACAATATATCCAGTCAAAAAAAAAAAAAGACACCACAAACTGAAGTGTCAATATTCTAGATGATCAGAAAATGTCATGTAGAAGAGTAAATGCTGTGTTTAATGCCTACTATAGCAAAAAGCAGTTCACTGAAACAAATTTATGAAATTATAGGTATACTTTATGAAAGTTTGAAATTATAAATAGGAAAGAACCATTAAGATACTTAAAACCTAACACTGTGTACTCTGAACCACATGCTAGTTACGACTCACTGCTCCACAGCACCAATACCCATGATACGTCTTACAAGAATGAAACTACCACATTCAGACAGAAGAGAAAACAAATTCTGCTCCATTTATGAATATTGCTGAAGAAGCAAGTTTTCATTTGAAAACAAATATATGTGAATGCAGCCAAATGCTGCACCACTTGGAAAACTATCATCACACAAAGGCTGTTGCACTTCATTAACTGTATTACACACTATCTTGCTGCATCAAAGTTTCATCTCAATTTCTGGAGTGCTTTTGATCAATCCGAAAAGCAACACAATCATTTGAAAGGCTGAAGACTACAACAGCAAGGATTTTTGACTGTTAAAAAAATAAATAAATAAATTTATCTTTTAAATCAAAATTATTATAAAAGTGGAAATTACAATAGTTAAGGAAATAGAAAAATAAGCCAATCATGATCTAGATCATCTAACTATGGCTTCAAATTTATTAATACAAATATCTGTGTATAAAACTTTTTCAAAAAGTTAATTCTGTCAGCCAGATCCTAGCACAGAGCTTTCCAAGTCCCTCTCCCGACTGAATAGCCTTAAATTCCCATTCTCTGTGAATTTTTGCTAAAACAGTTGCAGTCACACCACCATCCTCACTGATGAAGCAAATATTAAAATCTTTCTCTATTACTTTTATCATTCTTTTATAGCTCCCTAAAATGAACTGTTGACTTAATCACTTGAGAAAGAAGCGGTAAAAAATAGGTACACACTTAGTATTATTAAGGGCTACAGTCAACAAAGTTTGTGGATTAGTGACTCCCAAACCATGTACTAATTCTAGACGAAACATTATAAATTATAGTGTGTAACTTAGTGTAGCAGGGTAAAAACACTTCAGGGACTTCAGACCAAAATTTGCCTACATACTTAATTCACCACGTACCTGTCCTCAATTTCCTAAGGCTATGCATTTAGATCTGTCAATACAGTATTAAGAACATACCACCATTTTATCCTACAGGATTTTCACTGTACTGATGCTGACAAATTGAGAACTGTCCCAACTTTGTGCAGCTGGCTTAGCAGAATGAAGCAAGGTATTTCCATTCCACCCAGCTGTCATGAGTGCACGTCAGGAAGAAGAGAAACACAACTCCTTTTCCAAACTCTCTGACACGGAGATCTGCCTCTGCTTTTGTAAAATATTTCTATTAAAAACAACTCGGCAACAGGCATTTCATGAGATGACAATCAGGTGGCCTCGCTCAGTCTCAAATGCCTAGTCAGGCAGTGTAGTTTCAGTGCGCAAACTTCAGAGACCATTCAAGATACAAATAACCGCATCTGTGGGGCCGTGGGGCCACGTCAAGGGCTTTCCAAATACAGTACTGACTGGATACATTTCGTGGGCATGTAGTGTTGGAAGTGGTTAAATTTAAGACATTTAATCTAAATGTTCCATTTTCCCTAAAACAAAACAAAACAAAAGACATTTTCATAGGAAAAGAAAAGCAAGCAGCAGTAGCAGCTAGCTAATTTAAACCGAGATTAAAAAATGAACATACAACACACACAAAACATACACAAAAACAAATGCAGAAAGCACGGTCCTATAAGGTAGTCAGCTTGGCACAGTGCAGACTGAACTGAAGACACGGAAGACGAGCTGTGTAATAAATAGGGCCGCAGTTCCTAAGACGCCACGATCGCACTCTAGTTGTATTGGGAAGCAGCAGAGTTTACAAGAGTGGGTAGGAGACAGCTGTACAGGCCAGGTACAATTTATACATTTAAAAAAAAGTTTGAATTCTACAATCGCAGGGGCCAGAGGTGAGAGTCACGGAACGACTCGGATACTAGGTCCTCTTCATACTTCCGTTATTTTCAACACCTGAAAATAGGAGAAAAATGGAAAAGATTTTAGTGTTAGAAAGCTCGCCTGAGATAAGCATGAAGGCTCAGACCAGGCGAGAAACAGTTTAGCCAATGCCTCTGACCGCTCTGGCAATGTCGTGTTCCTGATCCCTTCTTCATCCATGACCTCCTAAGTACAACTGTTGAGAAGGACTTGGCCCCCGTCTGCTTTCCTTTTCCCTAGTAAAGCTATGACGAGCTGGTAAGTGAATGCTATTTGTGTACAGAAGAAAAAAGATGACTCATCTCTTCACCAGCAGGTGGCCGCTAATGACATTCTTCAACCCAGGACTACTAACCAACAAGCAGTAGTTAGCTAACTAACAAGTAGTGGTTCCGTAAAGGGAAGCTACGCAACGGAGGAAGGGAAAGAATACAAAATGAAAGGCACCCCCCCCCCCCCCGAGGGGAAAGGGCAGAGAGATAAGCAGTCCCCACTGCTGGCACCTGGAGTCGCCCTTGTGTTAACTGCTACTTACCCACACGTTTAGGAAAACTCCGCATGTTCAAAGTACTAAGTAAACAGTTCAGTCAGGAATCTAATTTATAAAGCTGAAGAATTTTAAAGAGAGTGAAAATGGGAAACTACTTTTAAAAAACTGCTCAAGTTTCTACCAGTAGAAAAGTGAGAATTCGAACTCCGATGGGATTCTCAAGTCCAGGCCCTTCACTACCACGTCTCTCTTAAATTCCATACTACACAAAGTATGACATTAAGTTACTGGAAATGTGATTCTAGAATATCGCTTAACTTTCTGCTCAAAGTTAGAGCCTCTGTGTGTGTAAAAGGTCAAGATGAAACCAAACAAGATTAAAATAAACTGACTTTGGTATTTGTAACAAGTTAACATTCTCAGAATAATCTAGTGTTTTTAATTTTCAAAGCACCTGTATTCTTGGGACTTCCTGAAGAACTAAAACCAGAATTCCTGTCCTATGACCAATTAGCCACCAACTAATCAACTGTTGTAAAAGAAAATGTTCAGAACATATTACAAAGTTAGCTACCAACAGCAAAAGCAGAACATGTATAGTATGTTATTCCTCCAATGGTCAATCAAAAGTTTAAACTTTTAAAAGTTTTAAAAACAGTATGTAAATATACATACAATATGTTGGGTGATATCTGAGTATTTATGTTCTACATTGTGATATTCTTTATTCTGCTACAAGGAACTTGTATTTGTACAGTTTGTATTGATTGTATAGTTAAGTAAAATACAAAAGTCTTTTAGAAAAATCACCCAGAAAAGATAAAGAGAGATAACTCATTAAAAAAAAGGAAATATAAACAGGCCAACAAAGATGTGAAAAAAAAAAAGTCCAACTTCACTGATAAATCAACAAGATGCTATTTATTTGGCTATTATGTAAGAATCTTAAAAACATTTAATGTTCAGTGCTGATAAGGATGCAATAAATAGTACCCTTGAGCCATTTGCCAGTCTGATTCTGTGCAATTTTTCTAGAAAGCCATGTGTTAATATGTACCCAGGGCTTTGAAAACATTAATACTTTGTAATTGCACTGGGAATCTTCTGGAAATGATCTATAGGGTGAAGTAGTATAAAAGATACTTTCTTATCTGGAAGTTTCAATTTCGGAAATTTTCAAATATGAAAAAAATTTACATCATTAAATGTCTAATAAAAGAGAATGTCTAGCCAGTGTTGTGGCACAGCAGGTTAAGCCACCAGTGTCAGCATCCCATATGGGCACTGGTTCAAGTCCCAGCTGCTCCATTTCTGATCCAGTTCCCTGATAATGGCCTGGGAAAGCAGCAGCAGATGACCCAAGTGCTTGGGCCCCTGCACCCTGTGGGAGACCCAGAAGCAGCTCCCGTTTCCTGGCTTCAGCCTGGCCCAGTCCCAGCCATTGAGGCCACTTGGGGAGTGAACCAGATCCCTCTCTCTCTCTCTCTCTGTTAACTCTGCTTTTCAAATAAACTAATAAATCAGAACACTTACTTATTACAAACGATGTAGTATGTTAGGTTTAAAAACAGATAAAAACATAAATTTGAATGTATGATTTGACTTAAACTATGAAAAAAAGACCAGGAGAAATTGTGTTGTTACTTTTATAATTACATATGTCAAGAAAAAGTAAGTCAGGACTCATAGGAATAAAAAAAGACTAACTAATGGCTCCCTGCTTCCATACACAGCTCTGACCGCAAAGCCAGCAACTACACACCGGCAGTCTGTGCAGACGTTACACCTGCTTGCCTCCGCCGCCCCGCACGGCCACAGGCTGGCTGTTCTGAACAAAGGCGCCGCCTCCGCGAATTGCACTTGGATGAGTTGGAGAAGCTGCTGGATGCTGCCCGGGCCGAATGGGTTTAGCTAATAAGAAAAACAAACAGTGACTTTAGGAGAAAGCCGAACACGTGACTGCAATGCTCCGCTGATCCTTCTCTACTCACAATCAAGTCCCAGGTGTTTCCCTGTGTCTTTTTGTTCTTTTTCTTTTTGGCCCTATCCTTTTCTCCAGGACACATACAACCCATAGCCTGTTAAAGATCCTATTCCCGCACCAAGGATTATTCTGACACATGAAACGACAGCCGACGACGTCTTTTCTTGCACTTCTCTCTGCCTACGACGCTGCTCTACAGTCTCTCCTACTCTGACCATGGCTGCTTGCTCCTCCAGCTCTTGGTTATTCTTGTCTTGTTAATGTCGTTAGCCCTCCATTTCCCTCCCTAACAGTACCACTCTTGAGCAAGTTAGAAACCAGACAAGGACCCCCAGGGCAACACTGCATATAGTCAGATTACGTCAACGACATGAAAGCATCAGAAGGGAGCGGGGGGTAGAGGAGTCAAGGCAGCCACTAACCGATCTGAGCCGAATGCCCTCTCCTGGCCATGTTCTTCGACCTGACTGCTTCCTTGATGCGGTCCACTTCTTGCTGATAGCGCTTCCGATCCCGAGAGGCATTTTCCTTCGCTTCTTTCAGTGCCGACTCCAAAGCTTTCACTCTCTCGGCTGTAGCTCTCAGTCGCTTCTCCAACTTGGGAAGTTCGCAGCGAAGATCCGCATTATCACGTACCAACTAGAAAGGAACACAAGATAACAATGGTTCTAGCTGGATGATGCGAGAAGGCATGAGACTTTCATAATTGCTCTTTTTTTCTGAAGCAGACTCAGGGATGCCAGGGCTCTGAGTCAGCCTCCTTGACGGCTGTGGCTCTGGGGCTGGATGCAAAATTTCCCAACTCTGCAGCCCGATGCTTTTTATTTTTTTTAAATATTTATTTATTTTTATTTACTTGAAAGAGTTACACAGAGAGAGGAGAGGCAGAGAGAGAGAGGGAGGTCTTCCATCCGCTGGTTCACTCTCCAGATAGCCACCAACGGCCGGAGCTGTGCCGATCTGAAGCCAGGAGCCAGGAGCCAGGAGCTTCTTCCAGGTCTCTCACACGGGTGCAAGGGCCCAAGGACTTGGGCCATCTTCTGCTATCCCAGGCCATAGCAGAGAGCTGGATCAGAAGAGGAGCAGCCAGGACTCAAACCAGCACCCATATGGGATGCCTGAATTGCAGATGGCGGCTTAACTGCTACACCACAGCGCCGGCCTCTCATAATTGCTCTTTAAAAAACTAAGTAAACTTGGAATCAGTGTTGTGGTGTAGCAGGTTAAGCCACCTGTGACACCAATATGTGCTGGCTTGAGTCCTGGTAGCTCTACTTCGGAGCCAGCTCCCTGCTAATGTGCCTGGGAAAGCAGTGGAAGATGGCCCAAGTGCTTGGGCCCCTGTATCCAAGTGGAAGACCAGGAGGAGGCACCTGGTTCCTGGCTTCTGCCTATCTCAGCCCTTGCTGTTGTGGCCATTTGGGGAATGAACCACAGATAGAAGATCTCTCTCTCCCTCTCTCTGTAACTCTTTCAAATAAAAATACATTTTTTTTTTTTAAAGCAAAACCAAACAAGCACAGTACCACGAGGGGCTGGTGCTGCGGCGCAGCAAGTGAACCCCAGTCTGCAGCACTGGGATCCCATATGGGCACCGGTTCAAATCCTGGCTGCTCTGCTTCCAATCCAGCTCCCTGCTAATGCACCTGGGCAAGCAGAAGATGATGGCTGAAGTCCTTGGGCCACTGCACCCAACTGGGAGACCTGGAAGAAGCTCCTGGCTTCAGACGGGCTCAGGTCCAGCCTTTGCAGCCATTTGGGGAGTGAACTAGAAGATGGAAGACATCTCTCTCTGTCTCTACCTCTCTGAAACTCTTTCAAATATATATATATTTGTATTGTGTGTGTGTATGTGTGTGTGTGTGTGTGTGTATACACACACACACACACACACAGGCAGAGTGGACAGTGAGAGAGACAGACAGAGAGAAAGGTCTTCCTTTTTCCATTGGTTCACCCCAAAGTGGCCGCTGCGGCTGGCGCGCTCCGCTGATCCAAAGCCAGGAGCCAGGTGCTTCTCCTGGTCTCCCATGCGGGTGGCAGGGCCCAAGCACTTGGGCCATCCTCCACTGTACTCCGGGCCACAGCAGAGAGCTGGACTGGAAGAGGAGCAACTGGGACAGAATCCAGTGCCCTGACCAGGACTAGAACCCGGGGTGCCGGCGCTGGCCTCAAATAAATATTTAAAACAAAAAGATTACCATGAATAAGTTAAGAAAGCTGACAGCCCAGAATTTCCTATAGAGAGATTAAAAACATGTTTCCACTGGTCTACATTACAGGGTTGTTAAAAGCTGCTGGTGGTTTCCTCATATCGTCTGGTAAAATAATGGAATGGCCAGAGCATACACATTTCTGAGGACTGGAAAGACTGAAACACTTGCCACTTGTGCAGTTTGATTCTGCGATGTTGCAGCAAGCAGTAGACAGAGCCTGCATTACCTGTTTGTGCACTTTAGTGAGCTGTTCCAGATTGTTCTCCAGAAAAGAGATTTTTTGCTTCTGCGCAGCACTGCCCCCAGTGTCATCAGAGTCGATCTCGGCGCTCTGAGAGAAGGAGGTCCGAATTTCAGAGGCTACAAAACGAACTGCACACAGCCAGCTCTTCCCACACCCCCTGGGCACGTCCCGCTACCTTTTTAACTCTGGTTGCCAGGTCCTGAACAAAGAGCTTACGCAGGTTGTGTAAAGTCTGAAGTTCTTTTGCCTGGAATCAAGTATAGCAGTACTTTTAGAATTCAGACTTCAAGGCTAGGAAATGGGATAAAAGCCCGCACAAGACCTCGCCCCGTTCATCTTCATTTTTCTTACCACTGTCTCTTCCAAACCCTTCAAGTCTTGTCTTGCTTGTTCTCGTCTGTCTTGCATGACCCTAACAGTGGGAGAATATACAGGCATGGTTACATCTTTGAATCCTTAAAATTCTAGCTTTAGCACAAGAATTCATTCAATATTTTTATCTGAAGGACTCGATAAATTCAAATAAATGAAAGATGCTTCTTTTTAAAGTTTATCTATGCTATTTCTTTCAAAGGAATTTTATATTCCTGATAATCTCTTTCCAAATCTATAGTTTATCAGGAAAAAAACCCTCCTCATATAGCAATGGAAGACATGAAATAAAATGTGGCAGTATTCCAAGAATACGAACAGTCCTAATTTAGATTTTTAATTATGTCATATGGGATTCTGCTATTTATCCAAAATGATACTAACTGGGAACGACAGACTAAATTGTCAAAGAGTAAAATATTTTACACTAAAATCTTTATTCTAACAAAACGGCGGCTGCAATGCAGCAGCACGTCTACACAGCCCCTTGCACAGGTCCTGATGGAGTGACCATCCTGGGACAGCAGTTCACCTGCACCGTGTCTCTCACAAACTCAAGGCACATGAAAAACTGTGAGTGTCCTAACCGCTCTGATTCTACAAAACTGAGTACCAACTCTGTTCATGGGGAACAAGCAATGAAAACCTCTGTCCAAAAGACAAGACTGCAAACAGTAAGGTTCTCTTGTGCAAGATCCAATCTGAAAAAACTCATCTTGGGGTAGAACTGCAATCACTTAAATTACCGACCGCCATGTTCTAGGTTCATTTTGAAGATAAATCCTGAACTAATATGGTGACACTGATATACCAAGTGGGCGGAAGGGTAAGACCTTGCTTTCAGTCAAACACAGCATAAATTCTCAGTTTTTAGATGTAAATCAAAACAACTCCAAAGATTTTCTTAAAAATACACTCAAGTCTATAGAAAGTAAAACATGTACCCACTAGACGTATCCAAAGGCAATGCCTACAGTCCTCTAGTTTTTATTTTTAAATTTTAATTAAAGCAGTTACTCACGTAAGTTCATGTAGTTTTTTGCTCTTTTCCTGATCTGTAGCTTTCAACTTCTCATGTTCTACTCTGAGACGTTCCTGCTCTAACATCATTTTCTGGTTTTGGCTGACAAAAGGAAAAAAAAAAAACAGTATATAAACATCATAATTTTCTGAAGGCTGTCATTACAAAAATTTTTAAAGGTCTTGTCCATACTTTTAATATTTTTGGGGTGGGGAGGGTTATGGTTTATTCATATATTTGAAAGTCAGTGTTAGAGAGGGAGAGACATAAGGATCTTCCATCCACTGGTTCACTTTCCTAAGTGGTCGCAATAACCAGGATTGAGCCAGGCTGAAGCCAGGGGCCAGGCGTTTCATCTGGTTCTCCCACATGGGCGGCAGAGGCCCAAGCACCCGGGCCATCTTCCAACGCTTTCCCAGGCCATTATTAGGGAGCTGGATGGGAAGTAGAGCAGGCAGGACAGGAAGTAACATTGCAGATGGTGGCTTTACCCACTACTGCCACGATGCTGCTCCCTATCACTTTTAATTTTTAAATGTATTTATTTGAGAGACAGAGAAAGACAGAGCTCCCACCTGCTAGTTGACTCCCTAGATGCTCACCATGGCTGGGGCTAGGAACTCAGTTCAGGTCTCCAGTGCGGGTGCAGCATCCCAACCACCTGAGCTCTCACCTCTGTCACACTGGGTCTACACAAGTCAGACACTAGAGCCAGGAACAGAGGTGGGCACTGAACCCAGGCTCTCAGCTATGGGACTCGCAGGTGTTTAACTGCTAAGGCTAAACGTTGTCCCAATTTTTTGAACTCTATCATCTCATTTTTCAGACACTCAAAATATCTTCTGTTATCATGTCCTCCATAGGTGCAGAAAGAGATAGGACCTTTTGGTCATCCAATATTTTTCATGTTTTAAATAAAAATTATGATTTCATTTTTCCATGTCTTTCATTTCCTTGAATCCTTATTACTGCTTTCATTAAGTACTAGTTAGATCTATGCCCCAAACTTCTGTTTTGTTGTTGCCATCTTCTGGTTTCTATTCAAATCATTACACCCATCCCATGTATGTGAACATGATTACCGAAGTAGAGAAATGTCTTCTAGGTAAACTAAGAGGACGACTTCTATTAAAAAACAAAAACCAACCTCTAAACCCTTAATTTCTAATAAAAATTTTAT